TTGGAGCGAGTGCATTCGATGCTGCCACGGGCAGCGGCCAAGCGAGCAGATCTAGATTCGCGCTAACAAACGACGGTGAGTGCAGCACTTGGCTTCGCAACGAACATGTCCATACCTTGTGTCTTCCCGGGCGGAAATTATGATGCCGTTTCGTATCCGGGGGTTTCAGCTGAGGCGAGACGATCTGAGTTGGGATGCTGCCAAGAGAGGGCGTCGCGATCGTATGAGTCGAAGCGTCCACGAGAAGCGAAGCGTCGGTGGTCGTCAGGCGTCCGTCCTCCAGGGTGATTGGCTGGACTTGCGTCCGCTGAGAGGGTCCACTCCAGTCATCGATCGCGAGTGGTTTCGTGCCTTGCAATAGGTCGCCACTGGAACAGTCGCTGTCGTCCTACAAAGATTCAAACATTGAGCGATAAAAATGGGGAGACTGTGTGACTTTATACCTGGAGGATATTCCTTTCCTGAAGGTCCACGCCAGAGAAGTCCTTCATGAAGTCGTCATGATGATCGACGAGAGTCGTGTCAGAATCCATTGAGAGGCGCTTCGTGTTCGGAACCGGCGAAGTCGGCAGTATTGGCGTGCATAAAGTAGAACACGTATTAGATGGCTGAGTGCTGCAAGAGTCGTTTGCGATTAGATTCGGTGAAATTATTACGTCTGGCTGAGTGCTGCAAGAGTCGGTTGCGATTGATACGGACGGCGGAGTGCTACATGGTTCGGTTGCGATTGAAATTGAGTCTGCTGCAGTAGAGAAATCGGACACTTTGTTGCAAATGAGAGGCGCGTTGAGCTTGGCTAAATTGTGCTTCGGAGGGGGTTGACCATCTTTACTGAGGAGTATCCGGGCGGTCTCGTTGGAAGCTAGAACTAGTACCGCGACAGAAATACAGAATTCGGATATGACCAGGCCAGCGGTGACGTTCTCTGCTTCTTTGATGGCCTTGGACGTCCGATCCACCACAGTGTGTTTGAAAAAGAATGCTCCGAGGCACCCAGCGACGGTGACATGGGCGGCACCGTCGAAGATAGCGGAAATCATATTGTAAGGCGAGTTGAAGTTGAGAATGAGTAGTGAAGAAAGTAATGCACGTAAATCGAGGACGGGAAATGGGAGACGTATCTTGTAGTAGGCACGCTGTATTTATACTCTGTTATACCAGTTAAATCAGCACTGCCACGAAATAAACGAACTCGATCGCGACGCGCCTAGTCACGTGTATGAAAAATCACTTTATGTCAGCAGCCACCACCGCCAATCATGTAGCTGCCAATGTAGTCAAGTATTGGCGCAGGTTCCTGGACCATGACAAGTTACAACGCTGGGATTCTTGCGGTATGCGATCCCTCCGCATGTTGTTCATGTCTTCTAATTTGAGTTGTCTGTCGGAACTTTTTTTACGGCATTTTAATCGATTAAAATGGTCTAACGACGCGGACCCATTGCCATAGATTATGATCAAACAGTCAGCATTTTAATGAACCTCGCGCCATTTTAATGCACGTGAACATGATGATATAACGGGTATTTTAATAAGTATTAACCTAATATCAATGGGTATTTTAATGGTACCCACCGAGTATTAGTGGGCATTTTAATGGCGGCCCTGTGGTCTGAATGCACATTGTAAGGTTGTCAACTGAGGTCTTAATGTCGTGATAATCATTCCAGCAAGGTGGTGATGAATGTTCAACGCATATCAATTGTTATTGTGAGACAAATATTAATCTACATTATGATATGCATGGTGAAAACAGAAATGACTCCCCTCGCCTCCGTACTTGCCCGGACCATAAAGCCTGCTCATGACCAACAACCGACATAGAATAAGTGCGCTCTGGACACGCAAAAAAATGAGATCGAAAAGAGATAGGTAACACAAATAAAGCGCACCTTGAGTTGCTGGAGCAAAACGAGAGCAGCAAGAGTAACAGAGTGACGAGCACGCCTTGAGTTGCTAGAGCAAAACAAGAGCAGCAAGAGTAACAGAGTGACGAGCGCGCCTTGAGTCGCTGGAGCAAAACGAGAGCAGCAAGAGTAACAGGGTCTAAGTGATGATGCTTGGTGTGATGGGGGGCGCAACCGACTCTGGACAGGCAAAGAGATGAGATGGGAGGGAAACGGACAACATATAACAAAGCACACCTTGAGTCACCGGAGCAAAACGAGAGCAGCAAAGGTAACAGAGTGATGAGCGCGCTTTGAGTCGCTGGAGCAAAACGAGAGCAGCAAAAGTAATAGAGTGATGAGCACACCTTGAGTCGCTGGAGCAAAACAAGAGCAGCAAAGTAACAGACGGATGAGCGCGCCTTGAGTCGCTGGAGCAAAATGAGAGCAGCAGAAGTAACAGAGTGATGAGCGCACCTTGAGTCGCTGGAGCAAAATGAGAGCAGCAAAAGTCACAGAGTGATGACGGGGAGGTTGAAGGCACCAGAATTCTGGACATGCAGTCTAAAAAAGATGAAATGGATTCAGAAGGGAAACGGGCAATTTAAAATCAAGCGTACCTTGAGTTGCTGGAGCAAAATGAGAGCAGCAAAGGTTATGTTGGAGTGATGAAGGGGAGGCTGAAGGCACCAGGACCAGATGGGAACATGGACGTCGACATTGAGGAACAAAAGTGAGTTTGAATCGTCAACCTAAGCACTATCAATGATAAACTCAATGACATAAAATAAATTACCATGTTAGGAAATAATCATAGCAAAAGGGCTAAATTGGCGACAAACATGTATTACTATAGGCATCTGAATGGCCGCAAACTCATTGTAATGCAATATCCATGCAATCCTACTTTCTATGTTTGAATAATGGCTGAAATAAGGAGGAAGCTCACTATCGTCAGTGATTCAGATGGTGCTTGACGGAAAGCACATCGAGCTTGTCATGTGCTATTATGGGATACAGCAGGGCAAGAAGACTATGACCGCTTCAGATCTTATCAGTTAGTTCAAGACATATTGTTCTTATCTGCTTTGCTGTCGACTCACCGACTCTGGACAATGTGCAGATTTTTGAGGTGATGCATTTCTGTGCTGGCATTCCCATCATTCTTGCTGGCTGCAAGAACGAACTCAGACATGACCAACAAGTGATTGACGAGCTCAAGATGACGGACCAGAGACCTCTAGTGAGAGAACAAGATTGAGAGAGCCAACTACTAACACCGTGAAAATCTCGGCATGAACCCCATCTAGCGAGAGAACAAGATCGAGAGAGCCAACGACCACCAACGACTAGGGAATGACACAGGTGTACCCGTGGGTGTCGCAAGCATCACCCGCACCCGCACCCACACCCGCAGGTATACCCACACCCCATGGCGGGTGCGGGTCTCATGGTGGGTTGGTGGGTAGTATAGTGGGGTGTGGCACAACAGTGCCCGCATCGACTGTGTGGACAGACGAGTCCATGCTGCTGCGCCGCGAAGACGAAGAAGTACCTGCGCTTGTCGCACCAGAACCCGTTCTGAAACTGTCTCCTCCATAACGGAAGGAGTGCCAGGCATGTTAGATGCGCTTGGGGGCTTGGTGAGGGAGGAGTGCTGCGCACGAGCGTCGTGTCGAGAGCGCTTCCAAATAATATCGGATTTCATACTAATGGGACGAGCAGAGCCGTGAAGCTTATAGTAGAGGCCGCATCTGTATGTATATAAGAGATAGTACGAATATAGAAGGAACAACAAATGAGAACTTACGCGTTGCAAACGGTCTTGCCTTCATCGTCCTTCCTCCACAAAGGAGTTGCAACCAGGACTCACCACCTCCACACTCGACAAGTCCATACCCTTCACAACTAGTTGTTATTAGCAATCTTCACGATCTGTCCGAGCTTGAACTCGACCTTTCGCGCTGAAGGACAGCCTCCTACGACTGATAGAATTGGTGATGGGTTTGAGGCGCCAGTCTAAGAAGAGAGAATTTTGCCTGTAGCCGGTACACAAACAGGTCGTCGTTGGGGTTGGCATTGGGATGAAGGCACAGTGAGATTGCAAAAGCTGTACGAAGGAGCAACACATAGTACCCAAACACTCGGATTACAGTAGAGCTAGAATCTAGTGATTGTGTGATCAATCTTAATAGCATACTAGGGAGACAGAAGTATCATGCTACAGCGTGACGTGAGGAGCGCGAATAGTGGTAGAATCACTGGCCAACGTCTGACTCTTGGGCTTCCTCCTGCCCCTGGATGCCTTTGCCTGAGGTTTGGCAATAGTAACAAGCCCAATAGCTGGTGATACGTCCTCGCTCTGACCCTGGGCATCCACCAAAGTCTCTACACATGGTGCCATAGGAGTTGAAAAACACGGAGTTGAAATGGAAGGTTGTAGGCTAGTATCAACTTGAATGATAGGCCCGGGGCTGCGGCTTCGGACTGCGGGACTGCGGCTTTGGGTTGCGGGCTGCGGCTTCGAGTTGGGGAGCGTCAACGGCTGTCTTAGGTTGCAAGGTTGAAATGGTTGCAGCTGCAGCTGCAGTTACAGTCGGATGGATGTTAGCTGCCTGTACCGGCAAGTTAACATATTCCAATGAGTCTGAATCATCGTTTGAGTCTGAATCACTGGCATCCAGCGCGGCCATAACACGATCAAGTGATTCAGTGACTTGCTCCATGGTGCACTGAGTGTCATTGGATGGCTGCGTCTTGACGGTACCATCAAAGACGTATCCGTTGATTTGCTCGACGACCGATTTGATGCGCTGGTGGTTCCACTTAACAACGAAGAATTTCTTGACTGTCTGAAAGAGGGAGTGATACGCGATCGAGGAAATGGCACCAACTCCATCACCCGAGAATTCCTGGTCTGGGGACAGGATGAATATGATCTACAGGACATGATGAGTATCAGCTCAGTGTATATTCAAACTGGGACCCTACCGATGTGACGCTAAATGTGATCAGGCCAGGAGTGCAGCTTGTGAGCTTCCACATCTTAGCGTAGGAAGGTGGTCCGCCACGTGCTTTGGAATACAATGACATCTTTCCGCATACCGCAACCTTCATAGCCTTCAAAGCAACATATGAGTAGCCAGATCCGCTGTTACTAGTATAAACTGACCTTACCTTTGCGATGACTATCCAGTTCCTGAAGATTTTCTTCTCGTTCACGATATGATCGGGGTAAAGTATGGGCGCCTTGAAGATATCATAGGCCTTGCCTTGCCTGCTTCCCATCCGATCAGTCTGTGACCTGTGAGAGGGAAGTTCGGTCGTATTCGAAACGAAAAATTCATTGGGCATGTTGAAGATGCCGCCTGCAACAGTACGCAGGCTGTTTAGAAATGATGAGCGAGCTTGCTGCATTCCGCTCCCGAACTGATTGAAGTATTTATTATAATATTAAAGCCTTGAAGTGAGAAAAACTGCGCACCTGGTTGAAGAATGCATTTGTTCGCATCTGAGCGTGCAACGTGTGGTCAATGGACGCATAGAGTTCAGCAACGAGTGCATCCTTTGCTGTAGACTTCTTCGCATAACGATTTGGATTCGAGAAGTCGACTGCAGGATCAGGACAGTCTGTTTGAAAAATAACCTTGTCAGGGAGAAACATCTCGGTAGTTAATGCATATTTTTTCGCCAGGCTTAAAATGAGCTTGTCAACATCATTCGTCGTCGATGAGGCAGGAGCTGAGACAGCAGATTCTGATGCGGACAGTATCGCAGATGCTGTTTGCGACATTGACGATACCCTAGACGACAATGTTTGAGGGCGTTTACGAGAACGTTTCAGCTGTTGTGCAGCCAGAATGCCATTGCTCTCATTCAGAGATGCATTCCGCTGCTGGAGCTGCCCTTGTTGAAGCTGGAGATATTTGATATACTAATGTATTAACAAGTATGTTAGAATTTAGAATATGTGATACGAACAAAAGCACAAGCGTACCTGTTGGTAGTGTTCAATAGAGGCGCCACTGCTCGGTGGAGCCACAGGCTGACATTGGGTGCCTTCATCTGCCGAGTCTGAACCTGAATCAGAACTGAAGGATATCGAATTCGAACCAGAGTCAGACATTGAAGGGTGTTGAGAGGTGGGTCGTCGCAGGGTGTCAAGTCCGTCTCGCAGTCGGTGCCATTTTATGCAATCGTGTTGAGGCCATGAGGCTGCGACCAACAAAGTTAAATTGAACAGTAATTTACACGCGATGAGGACGTACATAATAATCATCGCAACATGTTGCAGGTCGATGTGTGATAGTACACGTTTCAAATCTACACATCAACACGTGGACGGATAAAGTCTTACGATTCAGAAATCATGAGGTCACTTACATATGTAAAATGAAGAATGTTTGACGAAAGGCTGTTTGTAATTGCCGTGCATGGAAAGGCCCATCAGAGCAGGCTGGACCTGGAAACCGACATAGACATTAGCACAGTTGATGGTCCACCAAAGTTGGGAAATAAGTTCCTTTGAAGAGCGTGTGCTCCAAGATACCCTTAACACCGCCTAGACATCAACATGGTAGTTGTTCGGTTGCCCGAGCTTTCCATCATGGCACTAAGACTCGCGCACCATAATGCGACAGCGGACTAGAGAAAACGCTTTCGACGAAGAGTATGATGATGGGGATTATGTCACGGAGTGGTGTATGGTATATCTATATGTTTTGTTAGTATATTTTCTTATACAAAGTTTACAGCTCACCAAATGTAGGTTTGAAGCGGCCGGTGCTATTTACGAAGTGGTTAAGATGAGGTGTGACTTTCTTGGATGTGAGTATGTGCGTGATGGATGTTGCATTTTGTCGGACGGTGCTTGTGAATATGTGACGTTTGCATCTGTACTGTGGGCAGTCAAATAGGTAATGGTCTCGTCAGTTCCTGGGCATATGGGACAGTGTGAAGTGTCGCTCTCAAAGGGATGTGGCAGGACCTGGCTTACTTACAGGAGCAAATTTGCGGCTCTCAAGCCAGTATTAAAGCGGTAGTGGATCAAGTGCTTGGTTGATCTTGTAGAGCCTTGACTCGAAGAAACATGTCAGTATCTACAGTGTGAATTACAAAGTAATCTCCGTCTGTTTCCGGATCATTTGCGAGAGCAGCACCCCGAATGATCGATTGGACAGAGATGATTTCAGAGGATATGCGAGGTTTGGCTCGCACACGCCACAGTCCCATGTCATTATCTCGCCTTCGACGACTACTGGCGATACCAACATCATAAGGATGAATCAGCGCGAGAGGGAAATCAGTGTTGCCAATCAAGCAGCTGAACATGTACACGAGGCGAGCGAAAAATGGTTTGTCGGCAGTCTTCACGATGACGCAGTCATACCTTGGCAATCCATAGAACTTCGGGTTGCACCGAAGTAAATCTCGGTGCAGGCGCCAGTCGACTATTGATTCGTAGTTGACACGCAAGAAATGAAACACTGTTATCTAATAGTAGTGTATTAGTATAATGAATTGAATGAGAAGTAAATTAGCATACCATATCTTCTGTGCGCAGGTGAATACACTTTCCATCCGGCAATGGAATATTGTGCTGTGGTAGAAAGCCATTTAAGAAGCCATTTAGCTTCATCCGAAAGTTGGTGAAGGCCCTGTCAGTTCCGTGCGAGAGCATGATATCGGAAAACGAGTGGTTGCCTTGCCTCGAACCTAAATGAGCATGGATAGTAGTAGATTCGGGTTCCCCAGTGTCATCCAAGTCCAGCGCTTCATGAGTCTCCGGGTCGCAAGTGTTTCGTTTGTAGTACTCGTCAAGTTCATCGAGTTCAGTGCGCATAGATGTTGAGGTCAGAAGCCATTCATCATAGTGCAGAATCTGTAACAATAAAACAAGTCTGAATCTGCATGACAAATAGTTACAAGTAACAAACCTGAGAAGCGACGTTCTTGAAATTTGTACGTTGAAGATATATTTTTCGCAACGAGCCGTGCATTTTTTCATTTGGTTTGGTACTGTAGTTACGTGTCGCACCTTTTGATATGATATCGTCGAATATGTGAGAGACCAAATGTTTCTTTGGAAAGTTCCAATTTTTGAGGGTTTCAGGCTGTGATTGGGCAATATATTCCTAGTGATGTGTCAGCTGATCATCATCGAAAACCAGAACAATACAGTGACTTACGGCCATTATCTCTGAGAACTTTTGCACTGCCAACCTCCCAGCTGCGATTGTATGCTCTGTATGCACTTCTAACGAGGCATAGATATCAAACTCGATGTAGTGGCGAATGCAGCGAAGGAGTAAGTGTCCCAGTTTACAGCGGGACGAAGTAAATATATCCTGTGCGGCAAAGACAATCATCTAAATAGTAAGTTTGTGTTAGTGCCGAAAACCGCTTATAATGTGCACATGAACCTTTGACAGATCCCCGAGAACAGTACCATCAGTGAAATCCACTGCGACGACAGACGAAAAATGTGTTAAATCAGGCCATCGCGGAAGTCCATCAAAACTAGTAGGACGCTGAGTCAGAAGTAGCAACAATGTATCATGGTAATCACAATACATACTTTTTGTCGAGTTTGACAGCTGCATCGCGCCCGAGGTCTGAAATCCAAAACTTAACTTCCTTCCACAAATGATCGCCCCATAACCCTTCCTCATTTGTGTGAAGGCGGTCGAAAGAAAGTGCACGATGAACGTCGACGTGACGAACTCTCGAAAAGACATTCTAACAATTGAATTACATCAGTATTTGATAGATATCACAGCAGGAACTGCATACCTCAACATTTCGGAGCGAGAAAGCCTTGAGATGAGCCTCTTTTTCCTTCTCAGAAGGCTTCAATCTTGCAGTGCGAAGTACATCTTCAGATTGGTGGCGTGTGCGAAACTCGTGGGTAGCAAGAACGGACTGCTCGTCTTGCGGAACCAAGCAAACTGGACACGGGAATTTTCCCTTAAGTCCACGGATCAACGCCATGATACATCTACAATTTATACATAAGCCTCACAATAGTAAATGCATGTGGTACTTACTGTTCTTCATAATCAGCGCTTAAGATCAAAATAACAGGCCAGAGACGACGTTGGATTCCATCTCCACACTCAAACCAATAACCTGTATTCGAGTGCTGCGCAACTGAGGCAAGAAGCTGGTAAAATGACGTGTGCCAGACAGCATTTTTGAAGTCGACGTAGTTCTTCTTTTTCGCATGTTCCTGATTCTCGACAATCTAAATCAATACGGCAGTTAGCAATACTAATACTAACCCAACAAGCTTGTCAATGCAACTGACAATGGGCAGCCAACCGACGACGCGACCACCTCCCAAGGCAGTATTGTTGTTGCGAATGTGAACAGGTAGGTTGGCAATACGCGCAATAATTGGGTAGCCCTTTTGGGTCCCGAATGACGATAGTTTACTCTTGTCGGCATAAAGAATGTATGCCAGTGGTTTCGCATCTGAGGGAAGCTGGGACTAGTACAGTTACAACGGTTTGACATTGTACTATTAATTTAAAACAACAATAAAACAAGATTTGAAACATACTTGTGCATTCCAAAATGCATCAGCAGTCCATGGTTCGTCAATGAAACGTACAAACCTCTCTCCGTCGAATTTCGAGAGACGTTGAGCATCGAATACGAAATGAGGCGTGAGATATTTGTCTCGCAATAAATCGAGTCCCCAATCCCAGAGAGGGCGGTAATGCATCTCGAATTCGTGCACCTCACTGTCAAATGGAACAGACACTGTATCATTCTGAAACTGCGCACTGATAATCAGTTTATTATCATGTTAGTATTAGTACATGAGACAATACTCACTCTGGTATAACGTTGCGAAGCAAGGTTCCATAGGGAGCGAACCTCATCGTGATTTTGCAGCGTGAACTTATCATTGCCGCTAGCAGATCGGTGCACGAGATCCAGAAGGCGATTGGTTTGATCCTTCGTCATCGCAGCTTCAAGTGCAATCTCTGCTATTTCGAAGTCTAGCCGCGTGCGGAAGGGTTCCCAAGGTGTATTGTTACGAGGCACAGTATGTTCTGTCATGCGGCTGCGGGTGAACTCAGAGAAGTGATGTACAGTGGAAGAAATTTGGCTGTGAGGATGATACTCGACTTTAATATCATCGAGCTCAGGATTGGGCTTGTTGGGACCAGGATCAGGCTCATTGGAACCAGGATCGGGCTCGTTGGGAGCAAAATCGGCCTCGTGAAAGTCAGGTAAGGCTGTGTCATGGTCCACTGGTGGGTATTGTCGAGGCGATGACCCTTGCATCTCTGATATTGACAGTCTCAGTACATAATCAATCTAATTAAATTGAACATACCAACATCTGGATCTGGATCTGCCCAGATCGCAGTAGCGCTCACTGTATTGCGATGAGAACAATTAGAAACATAGTACTATCATTGAAACATAAGGGCCCACCTGCAATAGATGATTGCGCATCCTCCAAACGTTGTAGATTATTGCGAATCTCGCGTCGCTGCCTTCGAAGTTCTGTATGGCAGATATCAACTATCTATTGAGTGCATGATTGAAAGACGACTGATTTGAGCACTCACCTTTCTTCTTGGCCTTCCGAACTATATCAGCAAACTCCTCGTCCTCCAGCCGTTCCTTTTCTTTCTTTGCACAAGACTTTGAATGCGATCCTAACCCGCGCGCACGAACATTCGCCCCACATCGATCACATGTCGCGAGTTCTGATGCCCGTTGCTTTGACTTAGGCATTGATATCAAGTAGCAAACAAGCGACGAACAAGCTGATGGTTCAGTAGATTATTAAAGTGAAAGGCTGTTAGTAATGGAGTACATACCAAAAATCAACTGTTAAAGACAAAACAGACGATGATCAAGGATATCTTTCGTTCGAGTGTAATATAAGATACTTGGCAAAACTGTTGAGCGCAAATGCGATAAGTTTTGGATGGGAAAGAGTCTCGTTCAGACTGACTATAGACTCACAGATAGATAGCAGGAGAGAATTGATTCAGACGAACGGAAGTTGTGGGTATGCGATTTGGTGTACAGGCGATTCAGATTCAAGCCAAATGAAACAAGACAATTGAATCAAGGATGTCGTTTAAAATAAAGAGTATAGATGAAAACAGCACAAAGAATCGGAAACGAAGCGATGTACAGAGCCAGAATTGTTGGGTGGGTTGATGCACGTCCAGGCTATTAGGCCTTAGGCCTTAGGCATAAGTCATCGTACGAGTCATAATCTGAATCAGGATGATATTGAGACTCCGCCTAAAGCATCGTAATTCAGATCACAATGACTTTGCGGGGCATCGTAACACGTGACCATTACAATGCCGGCAAAGAATCTCCGACACACCTCAAGTAGCCAAAGTCCACATTGCCTCACAAGCTCTAGCCAAAACAGCTCAGCAGGCCGAAGACACCCTGATCTCCTCGCTCGACAAGGCCGAAAGACTCCATCACATCGCTAGGGATGAGAGGACCGAACAGGAAGGAGGAGTGTCTATAGCGGCAGAACGACTTGAGGAAGCAGCAGACACTTTGTACAGCTCAGTCACTGACTGCCAAAACGCCATCAAAGTCCTCGCACCCTCACTGGACGTCACACAAGAACGTATCAATCACCTTTCCACCCAGATGCTATCAACCACTCCCCCACCCACGCAAACTCAAACTCAAATTCACACTCAACCAACGTATAGTTCAGTAGCGGCCGCTCACCTCCCACCCAAAGTCGACCAAGCCATAGGTCGCACCACTATCAGAGCACATCAAATCCTGTTAGACCCTAACCCGGGATCGTCTCCTTTCCCTCCTGCCACCACCAACAAAGAGATAGCCGCAAGAATGAAGGAAGCCCTAATCAACATACGCAACAAAGACACCCCAGCAGGAGATGTAAAGGCCATAACGGTACTACGCAACAGTGCCATCGTTGTAGAACTTGACTCTGAATCCCTAGCCTCCTGGTTATGAGACCCCACAGGATGTACCCTATTTGAAGGACAATTTGACTCTACAGTATCATTCCGCTTCCGCACATTTGCCCTTGTCCTTGAATACTTACCGATCCAGTTACAGCTAGGTGAAGAGCACTTCCTCCATCGCATCGAAGACGAGAATCAACTACCCGCGGACTCCCTAGTCTCCATCCGCTGGATAAAACCTCCCATCCGTCGAACTCACCAGCAAAGGAAGGTGTTCGCACTTCTCCAAGTCGCCGATGCCACCACAGCCAACGACATCTTACGTGACGGCCTATGTATCGACAATGAACGCATTACTGTCCGCAAGGACAAGAAAGAGCCGATCTGTTGTGCGAAATGCCAATGTTTTGGCCATATCGCTCGCAGTTGCATGGCGACGTTTGACACATGCGGCACATGCGGAGACCAGCACTGTACCACCCAATGCAACACATTCAGGACAACTCGCTGCATCAACTGCAGAAGCAGTGAACACACCAGTTGGAGCAGAAAATGCCCAGAGTTCATATGAAGATGTGAAATACTCGACGACAAATTCCCGGAAAACAAGATGCCCTACTTCCCTACTGATGCAGCCTGGACGCACACCATCAATCCGTCGAACCCACCAAAACTCTCCTCTACTTCTCCATCTGGACTCAGCCCAAATGCCAGGACCACCCAAACGATGCGCCAAACCACCCTAAACCTCGCACGCCGAGCCTCTCCCTCCCGTTTTACTCCAATCGACAGCTCACCCCATCGCCTCCCAACCAGTAAAGAAATCATGGACGAGATATACCCCCCCTTCAACTCAACTCCCACTCCAACTCCGGCTCCACCCTCACCTACAACCTCAACCGCACCCTCGTCAGCACCCTCCGGCTCCCCATCTTCGAACTCACCCAGACCCTCCGAATCCTCCACACCATCTGATAGAACCTCCTCCCCCTCACCCAATCATGTCTGAACACCGCCCTACGAACAACGTAAGACTCTGCATCTGGCAGCAAAATCTGAATACTTCCCTAACGGCGCAAACTTCGCTACTCAACAACCGAGGCATGGCCGAATGGGACATCATTGTCACCCAGGAACCGTACATTAACTTTCTACGTAATACCCACGCTAACACCCATTGGCACGTTCTCTACCCCACCCAGCACTTCACGCATCCCCAACAGCATACCAGGGCGATCACACTCATCAACGCAAGACTTGACACAAACTCCTGGAAACAACTTGCATTCCCCTCCTCCGACATAGTAGTACTTCAGCTCTCTGGTCCTTATGGCCGCTGCACACTCTTTAATATCTATAACGATGGCACGCATCAGAACACACTGACCACCCTTGATTCCTATCTAGAAGCTAACATAGAGTCGCTCCAAGCCGCCGAAGAGGACCATATGATGGTTAGGGGACTTTAATTGACACCATCCTCTCTGGGAGGACATCCGTAATCGCCATCTCTTTAACTATACTGCCGCTAACCCTCTTATTGACCTCATAGCTGAATATAGCATGCTTCAACTTCTCCCGCAGGGTATCCCCACACTGCAGTCCACCAGCACCGGTAACCGGACCAGACCGGACAATGTATTCAGGTCAGAGCACCTCCTAGACACCATTATCTCTTGTGAAACGGCCCCCGAGTCTTGCAGACCAAGAACAGATCACGTCCCCATTTTACTGACCTTGGAACTAGAAACTCCCTCCGCCCAGAGCGACCCATGCCGTAACTGGCGTGATGTCAACTGGAAAATGTTCAACGACCGACTCAAAGGATTTATCTCTACCAAGCCGGCCCAACCACTGGCCTCGGAGGCTGAATTTCAGGACGCAGCCAAACACCTCACCCAATCCATCATGTCCACCATGGAAACATGTGTACCCTACTCGAAGCCGTGCCCACACTCCAAGAGATGGTGGACAAAACGCTTAACAGACCTCAGGAACAACATCAAGAACCTCAGCAGGACCTCATACCGAATGCGTGGAATCCCCCTCCATCCCAGCCATGAAGAACTCAAAACCGCAAAGGATCTGTATGCCAATGAAATCACGACGACGAAGAAGCAGCACTGGTTAGATTGGTTAAATGATATAGAAGGTAATGAACTATGGACTGCTAATAGATACATCTCGTCATGCCCTAAGGTCGGAGGTAAGACGCGCGTGCCCTCCCTGGTCACCACCGGACCGAACGGCTCTAATATTGAGGCGACCACCAACCAGGAGAAGAGCACAATACTGGCCTCATCATTTTTCCCTCCTCCGCCTGCAACTGACCTGACCCCACAGGACGCTAGATACCGAGACCCCATAGAGCAACCCCCTCCCATCACAAAGGACCAGATCAAGCGGGCCGTCAGTAACCTCAGTGGTTACAAAGCCCCCGGTCCGGATGGGATCTGTAATATAGTGTTTAAAGAATGTTCTGATATCCTCATTCCATACTTACATTTTCTTTTCAATGCAGCCTTTTCCCACAGAACGTACTATCAACCCTGGCGGGAATTTTCCACCATAGTCCTCCGCAAGCCGGGCAAGCCAAACTACACCATTCCCAAAGCCTACCGGCCGATCGCACTACTCAACACCATGGGCAAGCTTTTATCCGCAGTGGTGGCCGACCAACTTACTCACACGCTGGAACACCATCAACTTTTGCCGAACACTCACTTCGGAGGAAGACTGGGCAGATGTACTACGGATTCACTCCACTTGTTGGAAGAAACTATCAAGAACGCGTGGTGGTCCCACAAAGTAGCTTCAGTTTTATTTTTAGACATTGAGGGCGCCTTCCCCAATGCAGTGACAAAGCGACTAATTCACAACATGTGCATGAGGCGCATCCCAACTGACCTAGTACTCTTCACAGAACGCTTACTCACCCAACGCCAAACACAACTGAAATTCGATGGTTATACGTCCGACTGGTTCCCGGTTACTAACGGTATAGGGCAGGGAGATCCTCTCTCCATGATATTATACATAATTTACAGCTCAGACCTCGTCGATATCGCCAAGCCTCGCATAGGGCGCGAAGCGTTGAAAGAACTAACTTTGGCCTTTGTAGATGATACGGCCCTTATAGCTGTTGCCGAAGATTTCACCGAGACTCACGCTATCCTTACTGATATGCTTGAACGCCCGGGAGGGGGCTACGATTGGTCAAGAGCTCATAATTCTCGTTTTGAAACTAATAAATTTGCACTAATGGACTTCTCTATGAACAGACGCAAGCCACGCCCAGACATGCACCTGCAGGGAGCAATCATCTGTCCATCATCAACCCATCGATTCCTCGGCGTCATCCTTGACCAAGAACTGCGATGGAAAGCCCAAATCGACAATGCTATTGCAAAAGGCACAACATATGTATTACAGCTACGTCGTTTGTCTACATCGGCAAAAGGACTACCTCTGCGTCTAATGCGTCAACTTTATTTAGCAGTAGCCCTCCCAAAAATGTTATACGCCGCGGACCTGTGGTTCTCCCCCACATATCGCGAAGGATCGGATACCCTGCAAAGAGGGTCTATTGGCATTGCAAAGCACCTATCCGCTGTCCAATGTTTAGCCGCAACAGCTATAACAGGCGCTATGAAGACGACAGCTACAAACACTATGGAAACGCATGCTAACCTCCTTCCAATAATGCTTGTCCTACAGAACGCATGTCATCGAGCAGTCCTTAGACTAGCTGCCCTCCCCAGTACCCACCCGTTACATGCCCCACTCCGCAGAGCCGCCAAACGCTATGTTGGTGCTCACCGCACATCATTGCACAGTCTCACCCACCGTTTCAACATCACGCCGGACACCATCGAAACCCTGACTCCAACAAGACGCCCACCATCCACCAAGAATCCGTGGTCTACCCACATAGCGGACAGCAAGGAGGATGCCATAGAAGAACACGAACAACTTATGGACCAAATCCAAGTCTATAGTGATGGCTCAGGGTACAAAGGCCATGTTGGCGCGGCAGCAATGCTATTTCGGGCGGGGAAGATACCCAGAACATTGCGTTATCACCTGGGTACTGAGGACGAGCACACTGTCTTTGAGGTGGAGGAAGTAGGACTGACACTTGCAGCACACCTTATAGCCACTGAGCGCAATCTCATCTTCCCACTCTCCATTTCCGTTGACAACCAAGCAGCGATACTTGCAGGTGAGAGCTTCTATTCGCGCCCAGGATCATATCTGGCGGATCATTTTCGCAGAATCATGAAGAATATTGCAAGAAGGCATGAAGATTTCAAGGTGACCTTACGCTGGGTGCCAGGCCACTCCGGAGTCCACGGGAACAAAGAGGTCGACAAACACGCGAAACTTGCATCAGAGAGCCACCACAACAACAGTTCCAATGCTCGACTACCACGTTACCTATGACAGCACCCCCTACCGTTGAGCATCTCAGCACTCCGGGAGGCCCAACATAAGTCTGTTGAGGAACGCCGGCATCAGATATGGCGACACTCTCCCCGCTTCTACAAACTCAATCAGCTAGACCCCTTAATTCTCAAACGCTCATTCATGAAACTCTCCTCCTCTTTCCCTAAGCGCCTCACCAGTCTATATATGTTCCTCCATACTGGCCACGCTCCCCTCAATCTACACCTGCATCGCATCCACAAAACAGCCAGCCCACACTGTATCAATTGTCTGCACATAGACGAGACTGTACACCATTATATGCTAGCATGTCCCTCCTACCAACGTGCACGCTACACATTGCTCAATGCTCTGGGCCGCCAAGCCACGTCCCTTTCCTTCATCCTGACCGACCCCGCCGCCACCCCCCACCTAATCAGATATATCAACGCCACTGGAAGAATGAAAGCCACACTCGGTGAAATTCCACTCCCCCCTGCACCCTCCAACTGATCACCCCTTGTAGCCTAAACCCCGCCCTCTGCAGCCACGCACGACCCAACATAGCTCCCAAACCCATAATCTACTCTACCCCACAAAAACTTAATCTACTCGTTGACATGGAGTCGCCCACGCTCCCATTGGCCTAAGTCAGCCGGCAGTTGAAGACACCCTTTGTCAACCCAGGGTACCAACTTTTTCGCCTACTGCAAACCAAACATGACTCCTGTACCAGTCCACGCAAGCGGCCGAGTATGCACTTCTGTTCATTCATCTGATAGTTGTCATACCTTACGCATATATTTAAAAGTCATCTCGTCTTTGTTGGGTTGCGCGTCTAAAACAGCCAGCGGGAACGGCGGACTGGTGGGAGTGTGCTTCACACCAGGACATTCGCGAACCTAGAGATGTGTTGGGGACACCGGGGTCCCCTAGACTAGATAGTAATGTCCTCCATAGAGCATAACTCTCAATAGGACAGAAATTGGACCAAAAATAATAATAATAATAATAATACGAGCCTAGCGCGAGCTCAAGTGCTACAGCGCGCATGGTCCGCTAACTCTCATGTGGAGTGTGACAAAGCCAAGATGGGGTTCTTTTTCCACTTGGAGGATTTGCAGAAGCTCGAAACACAAATTCATCCCTACTTCAAGAATCTTGTTCCACTCATGAAGGAATGGTATGGGCTGATGAGGAACAATGACAACCCGGATTCAGTACCCTTTGATGCTGTGCTCGAGATGTTGGATAGGCATCATGCAGAGCTTCCAAAGGACGAACCATCTCCTGAGTTGTTATTTGCCAGAACAATCCTCAAGTGAAAACAGCCAACTGGAGATGCTTCTGATTCCGCATGTGCAGTAGATCTAGGAGTTACTGAGTTACCTGATGACATGACCGGACACATGAAGCCAGCTGGAGGCAACATGACAATGGAAGCTGCAGTGCCCATCAGGCCGTCAAAGCGGAACAAGACTCGATCTACATGATATTAATACAACTGTAGGCGATCATAGATTTTCTGTTCCGAAACACTTCGTACCTACATAATTATTTACTAGCTACGATGTATGTCTCCATGTGTACTGTATATGTCAGAGTCATCCATGCCGAGTCAGAGCCGTGTGAGATTCCCGCATCACCTAAGTTCTGTGACTCAACGCCGATTAGCACGTTGCTACCTGCGAGCAACTCGACTCATAGCATCCGAAAATCGCCTGTGATGACCACTGAACTACAACACGAAGCCCAAGGATAAAAGTGAGTGTTTAGTATGAATATTGCTCGGAGGCTTCCCACTCTTGTTATATTCCCAGCTCTACTACAAGTAGTTCTATGCCTGCGCAACGTGCTCGTGGTAGTCCCAAGAAACAGAAGACAAAGTGTAAAGCTGCGGATTCTGATCTTGGGAAGACACTCGTTGAAGGGAAAGCAAAGCGGTCACGATCACAGGCTGACACATCACTACCAGTAAAGCCCCCACAGTCAATCCCTGACTTGGACGTGGCTGACAACTCGAACCTTCGACATACTAATCGTGCAGGTGCTGGGAAGGGGGGTAGGAATAGTCAGCTTGAGAGAATTGGTGCCTTGTTGGATGTGCCTGGGCGGGCAACCAAACCCAAAGGCTCAACCACCCTTGATTCAAATGCTCCTGTGAACCCTCTCGCTCCAATACCACCTAGCAAGGGTCGCAGGAGTCGCTCAAAGGTAACTTTTATTATACTCATAAGCAATGTTACTAATTAGTATGATACTATGTCGAAGGCTCCTCCACCATATAGCACCTCCCAGCCAGTGGTAGATTCCAGCGCTCTACCTTCAAGAAAACAAGGCAAAAAAGCCAAGGTTAGCTTCTCTTTTGTAGTTCTGTAGACTAACTGTTTACTTTTTAACTCTTTTATCGAGAACATTGCTGCCTCCAGCGTCGAGGCACCCAATCAACCAAGCTTTGTACAACACGACGATGGTGAACGTTTCGGGTTCTGTCCACCTATCGTCCCTTCTCGCACGGAGCAAGTTCTCAATACCTCCTCAATCACTGCCAAGAGCGCTGGTCAGAAGCCCGCCACTACTTGCATTAACATTTTGTTGCAACCAGATCTTTTGAAGACGACCTCAGTTAACACGATGCCACATTCACAAGCTGACTTATATGCAAATATAGATCCTTCTCTCCGGCCAATTCGTCAGGAAGCACAAGGTGAATCTAGTCATCGCGGCGCCTCCCTCCCGTTGTCCTGCATGATACGGGAATCATGCATGGACATAACTACTACTAGGAATAACCCTCAAAAGATTATGTCTGTTAGCACAGTCCTCAGACTAGTCACCCCATACCTTGGTATCAAACCTCGGTCCTATATTTCAAGTTTTATATGGAAGAAGAAGAAAAAGTCATATGTGAAGTAAAATAAAGGTCAAGGTATTGCCTTACCTTTGGCTTATTCACTTTGGCTAGAGAAAACCATTGAGAAAAGCTCAAAGCCTAACAAAAACCTATCTAAAAAGCCCATGTCTTGCATATTGTATTTGTATCATTGTTTCTATCTTGTTTTCTCTAGCATTGTTCTTTTATTTTCTTTTATTTAGGATGCTATGACCTACCAGATACTCCAGAAAATATTATTTCTGAGTATGATGTCATAATGATGTCATAGGCTCTAGAATATTCTAGCTCCACTATGATGTCATCTCTGATGTCATTGCTCCATCTTTTATTTGTATTTTATACTTTTATTGGGTTTCACCCAATATTCTGATTGGTTCTCTCTTTATTTTATTGTTTGCGAACCTACATTACTTTCCCACACAAAATGTATATAAGGAGAGCCCATTCTCCCCCCCCAAAAAAATAGAGATCCCTCTTCTAGGAAATTTTCTTCTCAGAGAAACCCCCTCAGTTGAACAAGACATCTCACTTGTTAAGATCTCCCACTTGTAGCAGAACAAGTGCAGGGAAACGTATCCCTTGAGAATACAAGTTTCTTACGATAAGAAGCTTACGTTACTGTTTATTTGACCAATCAGTCTTTGGTCCACATGATTTTAGAGACTGTTGTCTCTCCTGTTTTACTGTTTAATTGACCAACTTGTGCCTTGGTCAACGTGATTATTCTTGAGACCATTGTCTTACCAGTGCTATTTGTGCCTATTTGACCAACCAGTCTTTGGTCAACGTGATATTACAGAGACCCCTTTGTCTCTACTCCTATTCGTGCCTATTTGATCAACTCGTGCCTTGGTCAAATCTACCCAGTTCATTTCAGTGCCTAGAATGTGCAATCTAGGCAAAGTTATTTGTACTTCAGACCACAGTTCTGAATCTAGGTAGCAAATCCTAGACAAAGTAATTGGAGGTACACATAAAAGCTCTGGCTAAGTTGATCACCTGATTGGTTTAGCGAGCCTCCCAAGAACTCACACGTTATCTACCACGAAAGAAGAAAAGTCGTAGACCGTGTTAATCGAGGACTGGCAAGAAGTCTTATCCAAGTGTAATTGTGGTGTCATTACATTCTTACACGCTTTATATAAGACCCTCGGTTATTAAGACACCGTCCATTGGCCAGGAAGCTCAAGCTGATGTCTCAACATCCGAGGATGACACTCCCTCTACTGATAATGCTGATGAAAGCGACGCTAATGAAGAAAGTGATAATGACAACGGCGAAATTGGTTGGGGAGGAGACCATGGGTGTCATAGCATGCATCCTGGTACAAGATCATTTACTAGTTATATCTGTCACTAACGAGTTACAGGCTTTTCAAAGGAAGGAATATCAGTATCCCAACCTCAGGCTATTGCTCAACCCTCTGATTTTGAATTCCAGCATTTGCAAGATGAAGACGAGAATGTTGCAATGGGATCGTTAGCAGTTGACGAGATCTCCAGTAGCGATGATGCTATGAATGAGGTATGTTCTTTCTGATTTCAAAGAGTTCGCTAACCATTTCTTGAAGCCTACCAAGCCGGACGATGTCTTACAGCGTCATCACAAGAAAAATGGACGTCCACACCTCCCTGACCCCGCAATGCTTGATCTCATTTGTCGCCAGGAGACTCAACCCATCAATGCGAAGTCACACGACTCAGGCGTTAAGGCCAACAAGGTCAAATTAGCCAAGTCCAAGGAATCGACTGAAGGCCCTAAGCCGACCCAACTCGGCTGGTATCCTCCACGGTGGAAGACTTTTCTTGAGGAGGCGAAAGCAGAGTGTCATGCCCAGCACGCGATCGAGAATGCCTTCCCAGACTCCATCAAGGATTTGCCTCTTTCAGTCACCGAAGCACTCACGACGTCACTCGCTACTCCTCTGTCTATTGCTCAATGGTTGTTGAACTCAAGAATGTCATGAAGGACGCATATCACGGCCATAAGTTGACATGACAGCTTCGTGAGTGGGCTGCAGAAGGATGGTAAGGAACTTTTTTCAAAATAAACGGAAGTCTTCACTAATTAAATCCACGCAGGGTGCAATCCTGCGGAGTTGACGGCAAGGACACATCAAAGCATCGTCATTTGCGGGTCCTGCTTGATTAGATTTGGACCGCTATTTTGCGATTATCATTCTCTCGAGTGTTCGCACATTCGTCATTATTACTAGTAGTATCTGAATCTGTGTTTCCGTGTTATCCGACAGGTGGTTACAGCTTGCGTAATTATGGTTCGGCTCGGCTCGAGTAGCTGTAGCTAAGTCAATTTAAGGGCTTAAAACCAACTCAAATATATTTTTAAATCATAAGCCAAAAATAGATTTACAATTTAGAACACCAGTCTCGAGAACCGCAAGGAGAACTTAGACGCCGATTGTCGATCACACCAACTCACAACGCGAGCACTACATTTACAATCACATTACTAATATCATGGGTCCACAAGACAAAGTGAGTGATTACAATAACATTGGATCAAAAACTAAAATACATATCTAGTTATATGGGAGCCCTGCTTGCGCGCGCAGATTGCGAGAGCAATGCGCACCAGCACAACACAATGAAAGACTTGTCGAAAGACAGCAGAGAGTTTTGAGAGATGGTGAAATTCGACAAGGAGAGGAAGGGATCGTCCAAACAACTCGGAGCTGGAGACATTACTTGCGGAGACTGGTGGGTCGTGCTGGTGGGAATTAGAATTTGTCGTGTCATATCGAGGGCAAAAAGGCTGGAGTTTTGGGTTGGGAGGGAATATATATGTTGAAATATACATTTGTACCTTGATAAAAACATGAACTGGAACCATTGTTGCCGAAGATGAGAACCTTTGTGCAAAGAGAATCGACAGACTCACGGTGGGCAACGACTTGGGTCAGGATGGCCCGAGATCCAATGAGAATCGACGGACTCACATCCTGCAAACGATGGGCAACGACTTGGGTCAGGATGGCCTGAGATCCAATGAGAATTGACAGACTCACATCCTGCAAATGATGGGCAACGACTTGGGTCAGGATGGCCCGAGATCCAATGAGAATTGATGGACTCACATCCTGCGAACGATGGGCAACAACTTGGGTCAGGATGGCCCGAGATCCAATGAGAATCGACAGACTCACATCCTGCAAACGGTGAGCAACGGCTTGGGTCAGCATGGCCCGAGCTCCAACGAGAATGGACTGACTCACGTCCTGCAAATGGTAGGCAACGACTTGGGTCAGCATGGCCCGAGCTCGAGCGAGGATCCACACACTCACTTCCTGCGAATGGTAGGCAATGACTTGGATTAGCATGGCTTGAACTCGAAACAGAATCGACAAACTCACCAACTGCAAATGCTGGGCAACTACTTAGATCAACACACTCACCAACCACAAACACTTGACAATGACTTGGGCAGGTGCACTGGCAGAAACTTCAATCTGCAGGACAGGACATTAGTGTGTTTGTACAGACAATACAGATGCAAATTAGCTGATACTTAATCCATCTAAATGGTCACGCATCCTCATCACCCTTGACGCTATCCCCAACTGGTTTTGATCAGTGACCACAGCTGAATAGCACCTTCAGTGAGGGACTACATCACCTTGGCTGTATGGGAGAATCTGAAAGATGTGTTCAAGAGAAGAAATGATTTAAAAATTGAAATCAGTCCAATGATGAACATAATGCTAAGGTAGGGCTCATACAAAACCGACCAACCTCACGTGACAAAGTACACAAAGTGTGACCAAACTACAGAAAGTACAAAGGCTCAAGAGATTCACGAAAGAGAGAAAAACTGGCTCCTGTGGATCATTAAGAAGGCTATCTGGCACAGTTCACAGGAGTTAAAATTGTGACAAAGTAGATGTAGTGGAAGTTTTTGATGTTATACATGTGTGTAGCAAATGTAGTGCACCGCCGTGACATCCACTTTGGTGCTTTTGCTACCGGAGTCACCGCATAGTCACATAGGTCACACTAGGTCACGGTTGGTCGGTTTTGTATGAGCCCTACCTTAGAAACATAGTAAAAAGGACAAGTGTCAGAACAAGTAAAGGTAGTGGTAAGCAAGAGATCAGAACTGATGAAAATGAGAACAATCAATGTAATATACCATAGATGATAGCAGCATCTTCAATGTCGTCACACTCCTGGACTGCAATAGCATTCAGAAGAGCGTCATGTGCAGAACTATCACCTGAAACTCCACTGGTGTTAAGTGCGAAAGACCTGTCGGACCCTGTCTCATGTAGCAGCGCATATTCCATATCACACTGTGATGCGGCCCATCCTTTGGTAAAGTTAAGTCTCTCCTTTTTCAGGATAAACTTAACGATCTGCAGTGCTTCCATCAGGACTGGGCTGAGGCGATTTCTTTTTTTGGTGTACGTCTCGCTACTCGATGAGAACACCCGCTCGCAAGGAACAGCGGATGCCTGTATTGGGAGGTAATCCATAGCAATAGCGTAAACAGTCGGGAACATGCCCTGAGATGCCTGGTTGATACTTTATGGTCAATAACAAAAGTGCAGGAGAGACGCAAGGCTTACCCTCCAGAATGATAGTGTATCTGTTCCCTTGGGGCTGTGGGTAGCCATACTGTAAGCCTCAAATTCCTGATCAACCATTTGGGCACCATCGTGACGATCTGGCAGTGTTGCCACATCAGGAAGTCCATAGATGTATGCGCCTAGTATGCCTGGCTGTCATGGCACCTCGGTAATTGGACATGGCGCAGAGCCAGACATGTTCATCCCTCTCTTTCCATGCATCTGCAGGATATCAGTTCAAAGTTGTACTGTTACTAGTGAAATAGATGTACCAGTTTGATTATGTGCTTCTTGGCATCTTCAGCTCGCTGCTGGCCCCAGTGTTTTTCCATCCATGACATGCGCATCGCAGGATCAATGACTATGGGTGAAATGATGAGAATCAAACTTTATTAAAGTATGCAGGACTGACACATTGCGACAGCATAGGTGTTCGTGGCGCCCATGCGATCATCATACTTGTTACAGTAACATTTAACCCCTATCTTCATTTCCTTTTGTTCCACTTACAAACGGGCCGTCCGTATCATGCTTATCTCTTATCTTCGCCAAGCGGGCTGTCCGCCTTATCTTTTCTCTTATCATGCTTCTATCTTGATAAACATTTACAAGCTCCGCTTGAACACTTGTATATAAACCTAGCTACCAACGATTGTATTCTTTACTTTAATCTACTGGGTTTTACCTGGAACATTGTCCTTCAGTAAGGTCTCCAACCTTACTGTCAAAGAACTACTATTCTAAGGGAGTCAGCGACACTCGCCTTAGCCAGAAACCTTGACCTCTCATTCGAGAGCAGACTCACGTCTATCTGGCATCCTGCCGATTGTCTATTCAGACACAGATAGCTCGACTCATCCCAGTCGTAACAAAAGATTAAAGTCTTATCAACTGAACCGTTGCCATCTGCAACAAAACCGACACCACGACTTCGTTAACTCCCTTGATCGGAGCCTTGAACTTAGGAGCCTTACCAAATATCCCTCCTTTGAACACCATGATGACCAAAGCCAAAGATATAGAACTCAAGATCGGCTCCCCTCCTGAATTCGATGGAGACCGAGAAGAATCCAAGAGATTTATGATGAAATGTCACGCGTACCTTGATATCAACGACCAAGTATACAACGAAGACAAAAAAATATTATCCTAGTATTGTCATACATGACAAAAGGGAACGCAGCAATATGGGCAGAAGATTTTATGGAAGCAGCCTTAGATCCTAAAAGAAAGGATACCTCCGGGCAGATGATCGGTTACGGAACCTGGGCCACATTCAAAAAGGACTTCGACGAAGCCTTTAAACCCATGGACCCTGCCGGAACCGCCATGATGAAAATCCGAGGATTGGAAATGAGAGGAGACCTCCACACCTACATCTCCAACTATAAACTCCTCGCACACAGGGCAGGGATGACCGAACAAGCCCCCCTTATCGAGTTCTTCAGACAAGGTCTGTTACGACTGGGATGAGTCGAGCTATCCTTGTCTGAGTAGACAATCGGTAAGATACCAGATAGACGTGAGTCTGCTCTCAAATGAGAGATCAAAGGTTCTGGCTAAGGCGAGTGTCGCTGACTCCCTTAGAATAGTGGTTCTTAGACAGTAAGGTTGGAGACCTTACTGAAGGACAATGTTCCAGGTAAAACCCAGTAGATTAAAGTAAAGAATACAACCGTAGGTAGCTAGGTTTATATACAAGTGTTCAAGTGGAGCTTGTAAATGTGTTATCAAGATAGAAGCGTGATAAGAGAAAGATAAGGCGGACAGCCCGCTTGGCGCAGATAGCGAAGATAAGAGATAAGCATGGTACGGACGGCCCGTTTCGTAAGTGAGATAAAAGAAATGAGTATAGGGGTTAAATGTTACTGTAACATTACCCCTCTGTTATGGTTGAAGTCTCCGACTTCAATATTCCTCGTTCTTGACATACTCGTCCATGTGTTCGTAGTAGATAGGGTCTGCGTCGGTGTTGCAGAACTCCGGTTCGTTGTACTTGGTGGCATACTCCCGATTTGCCCTGTCTATCTCATCCTGGAGTTCTTCATCTTTCCTGGCCTCCCATGCCGACAATGCTTCGTAGAAGCCTTCATCGGTGTAAACCAATGGGAATAACTCTTTCGTGGCGGCGTAGGGACAATAGATGGAGAGATGGCCAGGCTTCTGGCTCTGGCATACGCGGCAATGGTATTCGGGGCAGTTCTTGTGGCGATGCCCGAGTTTCTTACAGACACAGCAGACAAAATTGTCTGGGGAGAACTGGGGTTGTTTTACTGTGATGACGTCGGGGGTTTCGGTGAGGTCAATGACTTCACGCTTCTTTCCCTTAGAAGCTCTAGTCTTTGATACTCCGTGCACGGTAGCTCCTCTGCGGGTCTTTCGTTTAAAAACGACGGTGGGTTCGGGGATGGGTAGCGGTTCTTCAGCTGGCGCTGGCTGAGTTTCTTCTCTAATCGTATTTGTAGCAGGTACACTGCTGGGGGGAGTGCTAGCAGAAGGGCTTGGCGGGCGACCGACTTCGGTCTTGCTTCGCTCTGCAACAGTCTGTATAACTGATTTACAGACAGTGCTAAAAGCAGAAGGAAGCAGCTGAATCTCAAGGCTGCGTATTTGTCTCTGGAGGTGTTGGCAAGCGAGTCTGAGGGCATCGTTTTCTATTTCCTTGAATCTAATTTCAAGGGCGGCAGTGGCGCGTATGACGTGAATCTGGGATAATATGGGGGCGACAACAAATGCGGGTTCTTTGGCGAGTTGATTCTCTAGTTCAATTGCGTGGGGAAGGGACAACAAGGTTGTTTCGACGATGGCGTCGTCGTCTAGGTCAACGATATTTTTCTTGTACGTGGAGTTTTCGAGGGAGTAGGCGGATGAGGATGATCCAGTAAGGGAAGGTGTCAATGGGGGAGTCATGTTACTTGGGATGTTTGTTCTGAGGGGAATGGTTCGTTCAGTTCAACTTGTGTCTCCTTTTATACGTCGTTAAGAGTTCTTTCGAACTCCGCAAGTTCTCCTCGGGTATCCATTCGTTGCTTCCGGAAGAGTAGCCTATCCAAGATATGAGATAGCGTCTTCGTTTACCCGTGCCCTTATGGCTAAGAATAGCTTCTATTTCGTATTCTTCTTCACCATTGATAATGTCAGGCGGAGGTTCAGCGTAGTTCGGTCCGTGTATCTCTGTTTCGCGATAGGAGGATAGTTCAGAAGCATGGAACGTGGGGTGAACTTTCCATTGATCTGGGAGTTTCAGGGTGAACGTGATGGGAGATAAGACTGCGGTGATAACGAATGGACCGTATCGCTTGGGCGCAAGTTTCCTAGATGGTAAAGATGTCAGGAGATTGGTGGCCGTGAGCCATACCTTATCTCCTGTCTTCCATGGTCGGTACTTCCCATGGCGAGATCTTTCTGCCATTCGCTGCATAGCAATGTTATGGCAGGCGAGTGCTTCTTCTCGTATCTTCTGGAGGTTCCTAAGTCTTTCTTCTGCTGCTGGCGTGTCTGATACCGGTAAGATGTGGGGAATTCCCCGTGGCTCGTAGCCCATCATGAGGAAGAATGGGGACGTGTTTCTGGCGTCGTGTTTTCGATGGTTGTGGACAAATTCGGCGATAGGAAGATGGTTGGACCATTCTAACGGGTTACTCCTACAGTAGATCCATAGGTAGGTTTCGAGTTCTTGGTTGAGACGTTCCGTCTGCCCGTCTGTCTGGGGGTGGTAGGCAGTTGATGCAGCAATCTGATATCCAAGAAGTCGGGCGAGTTCTCGAGAGAATTTTGAAATGAACTGTGGTCCTCTATCAGAGATCACTTTTTTGTGGAGGCCAAATCTCTTGAATACGTTAGCCACTCCTTCTGAGGTGATGTTTTTGTTACATGGTGAAATAATTACCCCCTTCGTAAGCCCATGGTCTACCACGATCATAATAGAGTCAAAACCACCTGACACAGGCAGATCGGTGATAAGGTCGACAGATACTTGGGAAAAGGGGCGAGTGGCAACGGAGGGAATCGGGCGTAAAGGTGGGGTAGTAGGATGCGTGTCGGCTTTCATCTGCTGACATAAAGCGCATCCGTCGACGTACTTGCGAATATAGGTTCCCATGGCGGGCCACCAAAAATCCCGCTTCACTAGTTCTTCCGTTTTGAACCGGCCGGGGTGTCCCGCTGTAGGGTGATCATGATGTTTAAATAATACATCATGCCGTTGGGCCACTGGTACGTAAGCTCTGTGTTTATAAAAGAGGACATTATTGGTGCATGTCTGTTACGACTAGGATAGGTCGAGCTCTCCCTAGGCGGATTGCCTAATCTGATAGCGGGCTCGCTACTGGAGAGACGGGGATC